ACAATGTTTCTAAACTCTAAACGTTCTAAAAGAGCACAGAATGTCATGAACTCAACTCTCTGCCTCCGCTGCTCTCAGCTACCTGCAAGCCTCTCGGCCACGCCCACTTCTCCGCTCTGCACGGAGATCAGCTGATCAGTTGCAGCAGGAAGCTTATCCTGCAGTGTGGGCTGCAGAAAGGAGCAGCAAGTGTTAAATAATTTAAAATAATTTATTTTAAATAAAAATTTCATGCCGATCGTGCAGCTCATCCATCAATCAGCCAATTGTATGTCATGTCCAATCTTATTTTGAAAAACTAAGATAGAGCAAGTCCGCGATAAATGAACTTCCAAGTAGCGAGGGACTACTGTATACTAAAATAAATATAGCGTCCCTACTTCACAGATTTTCACCTATCGTGGGGGTGTCTGGAACGTACCTCCTGCGTGATAAGTGAGTACTACTATATATTCACTGTGATCACCTTCTAGTAGTTTCCTGAAAATCTGTCCACTATTTTGTCATGCAGGCAAAAACATTGTTGCCTTTTTCCTTTGGTTGCAGGTGAAAGACAAGACTAACGTCAAGGTTAAACCTTTATCTATACGTTTTATGCGTGAACTGTTCTGTCAGAGAATGAGAAAGCTCTACTGTGCCTTTTCACGTCAAGAACTCTGTACAGGGAGTTCCGTGGGCCAAAACGCTGATTTCTTATTGGCTGTCACATTTCTTACAGATGATTTTGACACACTTGATTGTGTTTTGAGATAAAACACCACATTATTTTTTTTTAAACAAGGAAGTAGAACACACAAAAGCCCTACTGAACAAATACTTGTATTGACTATATGTGCAATAATCACAAAGTGCGAGCCTTAATGTTTCTGCCTGTCAGTTCGTGCACTCTGCAATATACAAGTACCATTTACATCAGCAATTAAAAATCCATAAAAATGGGTTCTTTATATGGAATTATGCAATATTAATGCAATGTGCTTTCTCCGTTGCGTGCACACAAACATATCAGACAAAACTTGTACTTTTAAGCTCTTCAAGCGGTTCAAAGAGACGTGCTCTCCAGACTAAGAGTAAATATGAAGTTAAGATTCCAGACGTTATTCATTTCCTTAAACCTGAGGCCTCTTGATCTTTTGTCCTGCATTATCTCAAGTTTCTGGTACTGAAAGACACAGAGATGGGATGTTGTTCGGATAGATTAAGAAGTCAAACAGAAAAGAAAAGTTTGAAAAAGTTTGAGTTCAACCAGGTGCATATTGCAAAAATCAACTGTATATAAAGTGCTTGAATCATGAAAAAAAAAAAAAAAAAAAAATATATATATATATATATATATATATATACATGATAGGAAATAGTGCTTGCAAACTGCCTAGCCCAGACGTCTGGTTATGCTTTACAGCCAGTTTTGATGCCCTGAGCTTTAAAGGTGGAGGTGAAGATGAGGGAAAAGACAGAGAAATGAAGGGTGAAGGTGTGCTGCAGAAAAAAGGGAGTCTGATAAGAAGCTGGTGCGAGCAAGAAGCAGGATTCTTCCTCACTGTAGCCAAGAGATGAGGCATTTTTATCAGGCACAGAAGCAGCCTCACGGTCTCCTCATGCAGAAAGGAGATTGAGAGGTCTGAGGTTGTATGCGCTCATTCTCACCCATGAACATGCACACACACTGACAAAGATAAACTTCAGTAGCATCCAGACTAACACACACTCCCACACAACTTTCCCTGAGCCTGCTTCCATCAGTTTTCCTCGCTCTCTCTCCTTTCCTTTTTGGAGCAGATCAAATGTGTGAGACGATCTCACAGTCTGGTCTTATTTCCTCTGATTTTTTTTTTTTGTTTCTCATTATTTTATTCCAAAAGCTTTGACAGTATACTCCCAATAACATCCACCAAAAACATCCAAGCATCCCCTTCTCTCCTCTGTCTTTCCCTTAAACTTACGAGTCTTTGATGAGAATCCATTCATGGATTTAATGGATTTCTCTAGCCTTTTTTAAAAAAAAAAAGCAGAATCTGGGAAATGTATATAAAAAAAGAGAAAAATCAACTGTGCCTCTGCTTCTAAGAGTATGGTGGACTGCACAGGACAGCATTTCTGTTGGCATCAAAAGATGGAGAAATTTTTAGCTTACAAAACAGGGTGAACGAGTCAATATGGATCTGAGGCCCGACTGACTTCAGTCCCATGGGTGAGGGAAAAAAGTGCAACGACAAAGTGAAAGTTTTCTTCGCTTCGATTGAAGTCAAACTTGGAGACAGATTAAAAAGTACAACAAAGGCAGAGAAAAATAAGATGATAAACCTTTGGCGAGTTATTTTTCTTTAAAGAAGCATGCACGTTCAGCTGACAGAAAAGGATGGGGGAAAATCATTAATCCTTTTTATAAAGAGTGAAACTAGCACACTGCAGATAGTGTTATCTGTCCGAGTTCAACATACTGCCTCAACGCTTTAAATCTGCCTCAGATGGCCAAACACCTGGGGGTCCATTTCAAGAAAAAAAAAAAAGGAATAAAGAGAGACTAATAAAATAAAAATAAAATAACCCAACATATTTCATATACCCAGAAGAAAAAATAATAAACAAGTATTTTTTCCTAAAAGTGAATTACACTGTAATAAAGACAGTTTTCCCTTTAGAGTTTTCTCACTTCTGTAACCCTGGCTGTGTGTGTGCCATATGGAGCCAAAATGGCGCCCGGGTGCTTTGAAGGTCCCTACATTCCTGGGTTAATGCTGCACAGCTGCTGTGGGATGGTGTCTAATGAAAACTGCTAACTTTGATGGGCCCAGCAGAGGGATTAGGTTCTGATCAACACCACTTTAGGTCAGCTTCATGCTAGACTAGTTAAATATTACTGTTGATTTCACAACGATGGATCCAGTTACGACGGTGGTAAAAGGTGCAAAACAGCACAAAGACAGAAACAAAGAAAAATAGAAAGATGATTAACGATGATATAAAACAGGGTTTTCTGATTTGCCATGAGCAAAAATGCAAAACATCGATTGGTTCTGGTAAAAAAAAAAACAACACACTTATTGGAAGGATTCAGGTTTGGAAAACAAAGTCCATGCAAAAGCGTTTTAAACCTGCATTTTGCCGATTGGCCAGCAGGGGGAGACTACTTTGGTTTTGTTAGTATTTATTAAAATAAATAAATAAAAAAAGAGTTTAGCTTTCATCTAATTTCTTCTCAAGTTTTAATCTCTTGTTTGACATTTGTTATTCCCAGTCTAAGGAAAAATACATTATTTAAAAGTGCTATTTGCAAACAATTTGTTGCACTTCTACTATAAGGTGTTTCTGCAGCACAGTTTGTAAAACTAAAAGTCTGAATGGAAACAGATTTTGCAGGCAGAAAAAAGTACATGTCTACAATTCCAGTGCATAAATTAAAGAGGCTATAGTTACAGCTATAAACTATTTCAAATGTTAAAAATTGCCATAATTAAATTAAACAATGTAAGGGACAAATCTTTTCGTGTACAACAGTTTTGACCAAAAACAGACATGCAAAAGGACATATGGGTAAATATCTTGGCAGTATGCAGAAAAGAAAAAAAACTTGATAGAAGAGTTGTTTTCACCCTCAAACTGAACTCTATAGAATAAAATCAGGGGGAATTTAAGCAAAATGATGTAAAACAAAACGTAGGAACATTTATGATACCTAAAAAGAAATCCCTATTAGCAAAGTAATTTTGAAGTAAATTCTTGGAGAACCCAGGTCACTATTGCTCTTAATGAGTCTCTCAACTCCTAGTCGTAGTAGACAAAAGTATCTGAACGTAAAATGACTTTAAGTCTTGGTTTTCTTGATTTAAATGCTGCATTAAAGAGGAGGCACTGCCTCTGTGTATTTTTCTAATGTTTCAATCACACTGATGAAGGTTAATGTCCCACCTGCAGATGTATCTGTCTTTATTTTTTCTTCTAGTAGATTCTTTATGATAGATCTTTTGTAAATGGCTTTCGTTTGTTTATTTATTTAAAAAATGGAGTTATTATTTCATCCATTTCCTCACACCTTGTGCTCACCTTCTCACGAGTGGCATCTGCCTCTTGTTGATGGTTCCTCTTGAGGTCGTGGATGATTCGCTCCATGTCCGAGCGGAGCCGGTCCAGCGACACCTCTTTGTCCAGGATGGCTTTTTGCCTCTCTTCCTCCAGAAGCATCGCCTTCTCAGCCAGCTTTTGTTTCTGCTGGGCATGAGCCTGCTGGAGCTCCTCGTGCAGAATCGACACCTGGGCCTCCAAGTCTGAAATACTCTGAATAATACAGAAATAGAAAAAAAATTAATTAGGAGCACGATTTTATTTCTTCAAATCAGTGATGGCTTTTATTTTGAAGCACATGTGTGCAGACTTTCAGAACATTTAGACTAGGCACACTGAAAAATAAATGTTTTGAGGAAAGAGACGGAGAGATAATTAGATGCAGAGAGAAGCCTCTGCTGTTGATCTGTGTGTTCAACATGTGTCTCTTTTTCACAAACGAGTGTTTCTGTTGTGTTCTGTGTGGATGTAGGTGGTGGCCTTTGGTAGGTGGCGGTCTGACCCCCGTCTTCCACTCTCTCTCTACATCTTAGATTTCTCTGAAAAGCCTTTTACTAGTTCTGCCAGTGAGAGTGAACATTACATGGTAGAAATGCTAATAAATACAACCTCAAGGACACCAGAAATAGACTGGTCCGATATCTCAGAAGTTCGAGAAATGTCAAGAGGAAAAATAAGCCTGAAGTTTTGGTAAAACTGCTTCCTACAGTTGAGCTGATAAAAGATGATTTTGAAAAAGAAACCAGTAAGGATGCTACTGCTACAAGCTTTAAATATCAGAACATACATTAGTCTCTCGCTACTTTGCGGTTTGACTTTTGTAGATTTGCTTTTGCGGTTTTTCATAGTACAGTACTGTAAGTTTGTACACAACAAACAAAAAAAAAAGGCACTGTCATTTTGTAGTTTTCTCTCAATAAGCTTACACTGTGTCGTCAGTCTAAAGGACTACATTACCCAGAAGCCAACAGTGCACTACACAGAAGACAAAGTTGCTTTCTGCTGAAATGGAGGGAAAGTTTTGATCCGATCTGAAAGTGTTTGATCTTTATTCATATACATGGTAGAGAGCCATACGGAACCGACTGGGAATTGGACCAGGACCACTTCCAGCCTCATCGGTCAATCTGAGTGCTGCTTGCTGGTCCATGAGGCCTCTTGAGCGGGGAGGCGTTGCTTGGAGGTCCGGTGTCTTCTCCGGAGCTCAATGGGTCTTTTTTCATTCGGATTTGGACCTGATCGGGATCATGGTGTGGTTTTGTGCTGGCTATCCAAAGGTCCCGCTCTCTCTAAAAGCGTCTTGGTGCTCAAGGGCTGCAGAGAGCCGACCAGAAACGGACCAAGGCTGGGTAGGTCTGCCGAACCAGAACCGAGCCGGACCAGAACTGAGCTGCTGGTCTGCAGAGCTGGTGAGTAAAATTGTGCAGTACTGTACAGTACATATACGTTTGTTGTTAAAATTACGTAGGCTTAAGAGTTTAGAACAAGAGTATGAGAAGGGTTTCTAAAGCCTTAGCACTTTAAAGCATTATTACTCACTCAACTTAAAAATTCACGTTGCGTGAATAAACATTATCAAGTTATCTTGATTAATAAACTCTTGCTAAATAAACTTTTGCTTTAGTTTAGTTGATTTAAATTTATTAGTTGCCTGAACTGTTTTCGGTTTGTTGTTTCAACTCAGAAATCTATGTCAATTTGACTTAAGTGTTAAATATAAAATAAAATAAAATAAAAATCGCATTTCTACTTTGTGGTTTTTCACTAATTGTGGGGGTGGTGGTCCGGAACGTAACCCCCGCGATACACGAGGGACTACTGTATTTGTTGTATGCTGGTGAAGATTCTCAGTCATCCAGGACATGATGAATTCAAAAAGCGTTCAATACAAAAACAACTGGACTTTATTTGTAACAGAAGACGTTTTGTATTGAACGCTTTTTGAATACTGTATTTGTTATTTGATGAATAGATGAGTGTTTTCTACTCCCATACCTGTATTGCACTTATTCCCCAGTTACTGCACTCACATCACCTTTTTATTACTTTGACTTCTGCTCTGTGCTCTGCCCCAAAAAGCCTGGGCATCCCAGGACAAGACCATGTTAAAGGCAATCAGACAGCAAGTGTCTGAAGTCTTTTTTTACAGGGCACTGGGGAGAATCAAAAGGGACTTCAAAGGAGCATCACAAAAACAGACAGATGCTGTGGCTATGAGTTATAGTCTCGCCTGAAGTGGCACCAACAGACAGATGCACACACGTTCAAATAGCCACACATAATCTAGTTTACCACACACATGCTAACATAAAAACACAGATAAATAAATCTTTTCTTGCTACACTCGCTCATCATTAACGGCTTCACTGCTCCGCTTTTGCCATCAAGGGCAAGCATCTATTAGATGCGAGTCCTCGAGAGTCTTTAACAGCAATTTCTCTTCCAAAAAGGCTTCTTAAGACGTTAAAATATATCCTTCCAGAAGAGAGGCGTTAGCAGGGATACATTACTTTTTATTTCCCTAAAGGAATCTTCCCAAGGGGTCGATAAAGTTTTATCTAATCTGAAATCTTTAACATTTAAACGAGGATATTCTAAGACACTTTGACAAAAGCTGGTTTTGCTAAAACCAAGACTTGTAGATAAAATGTAGGGACAAAACGATTCACTGAGACATCAATAACAACTACAGATGATCAATTTGGTCTTGAGGATAAAAAAGGCAAACTTACATAAACCTCACTTATATTCTGCAGATTTTGTTTCAATATAGTTTTTGTCTAGTTTCAGTAAATGTTTCAGCTTTTGTGAATACATCTTTGCAACAAAAGCATAAAACTGTGCTTGTTTTATAGCGTTGCATTTTAAGTTAGGGATTGCACTTTATTACTCTTATTAACAGCCATGTAAACACTCCATAATTGATAAACCAGTTACAAAACAGAACTGCTTGTGTAAATGAGCCACACGTGAATGTCACAGTGACTGAATCACACGTGTCAGACAGATAAACACGCATCTGGCTGAAACCCTGCGTGTGATGATGTATGTGCATGATAAAAAAAACCGTCATGGTTTGTAACGAGCATGTCATAACACATCACAGAACACCAGCGCTCACTGATGAGCTGTGATCAGAAGAAGCACACATCAAACCAAAGTAATGACATCTTTTGAAGAAATTGTTCACTTTATTGCACATAAAAATCACCAAGTTATTGTTTAACTATTCTAGAAACATCAACATTACAAAGAGACTCAACTATTTCAACTTCTGATCACAAACCCCTTTAAAGATACTCGTGTGTTACTGGGAAACAAAATAAGATGTGAATGACAGCACAGCGACGAAGACAATGCGAGTCTGTTTGGTCCTTCATGTCAGCTTCCACTTTAGTCTGTCATCGCCCTTTTCATTTGACTGAGTTCATTCACGTACTTGGGATTGTAAGGGTTTGAAAAACTGACAGCGTCATAATTTAGACCGCCAAGGCTCAGGGGAAGAAAAAAAAAAAAAAAACACACAGGGCTCACGTTCTCCCATGTTGTTTGAAGTCCAGATGGTGTGTACATTCCATTAGAAAAGAAATAATTATCCAGTTATTCATAAAATGAGTTTTGAGGAAGAACAGCTGGAGAAAAATATGATTGAAAGGTTTCTGAGATTTCCCAAAACAAGAACTCGAATTAATTAATAAGACTGTTGCCACAAAATTAAGTGTGGTATGACCAATAACAATCAAGCTGTCGTTTAAAGACTATAAAACATTTTCAGGATTGTGGAAAATGTGAAAAGGGTCATCATGAACAAAAACAAAGAAAAGTTTCAGGGAGAGGGAAGTACGAGGGTAGTGGTGCTCCAAACAATGGAGGAAACCTCTTCATCCTCTGGGGGGCATTGATCAGCCAACAGAGCTTGGCGAGCTCGCTGGCCATCATCGAACAACTACCCAAGTCTTCCCTTCTCGTTTTAGCATTTTAACAACGGTAAAGATTTTATTTAATCGTCTAAGAAAGCAGACAAGGATTGTGAATTGATCTGGAGAATTGGCAGGAGGTTAGCGATAAACTGGATCATAAAACCCGAACATTTAGGTCTCATTTTAGCTACAAACGAACGGGAAAGGCATATTGCCACGTGAATGATGTATAAGCCCCAAATGCACAACAGAGGGGTGATGCAGCCTTTAGAATGAGTTATTGCTACATGGTTTATTGAATGACGTGCTCTGCTGGGACAAAGACAACTGGCTGAGTTGTTTAGCTCTTCTCTGCAGCTGCTGCTACGACTCATCGGCTCTAAAAACATAAATCATCAGCTGGAACTCTATTGATTAGTCTCACCACAACAAGTACGTATAACTGGTACTGAAGGAGTGTGTGACTGACATTAGCCGCTTCCTTTCCTTGCAAACTTTTTAGCTGTATGTTGTGACAGAAGCAGGCAAGCAGGAAACACACGGCTGTTCAGTTCCTTGACATGATTTGATAACATCGCTGTTTATCTGACTCCGTGTTGGCAAAGTAAGATACTGAACTCTCACATGAGAGAATTGGTTAAAGAAGTGCTCAAGACTTTCAATTGATTTCGTCTTTTCACATTTTTCAAGCGCTTTTCTCCAAGGCAAGTATGCAAAAAGATTAATAATGTGACACTATCACGCAACTTCCTTGAAAGCATCTTTGCACAAAAAGCCAAACTCATTTACATTCTAACAATGCTATTCTTCATCTTTTCAAGGCCTAAAACAGTAATTGCGAATGCCAGACATTAGGCAGATTGCTATAAAAAGCTGTACGAGCGAATAGAAAGAAGGGAAGGTTTGTGTTTTCCTGTCACCCGCTCAGAATGTGAGATTTGTCTAACAGCGTGTCGGTTTGACACGAGTAGGACGGCATGTTATTAGCACAACTGTCCCACGGTGACTGCAACTACGCAAATCACACAGCAGCAGCTGCCACAGTCGCTTGTCGTGAAAGACACTCCCCAAACATATTAGATCAAGGCACATCACGGGGGTACTGGGACATAAAAACATGTTAAGTTTCTAGCTTTAAAGACATTTTGGATTGCTTTAAACAAGTTGAACATTAAAGAAATATATTAATATGTCACTTTAGAGGACTTTTTCTTTGAAAGCTGTGTTTCTAGTAAAATTTAAAGTTAAAAGGGAGATATTTATAACAGAAAATGTCCACATCACAAGGAACTTTTCTAGAGTAACAAAAATTAGACAAAGCAAATAGGAAAATTCAAGTTCTTTATTCTAACTACACTTTGCCATTCATCCTGCTCTGACTCCATCTGTGAGCTCATTTCATGAGGGCATTTCGTCCACAAATACATAATAAACTTATGTCTGCCGGGATCTGTCTCTAGCTAATGTCCAGAAAATGCATGCTGACAATTTTCATTTCATCAGAAAGCATAAAGAGTCAAACACGTCCTCAGTTGGGGGCTGATTTGACAAATAGCTTCCCACTGAGCTCCAGCCCAGCCCAGGTTGGAGCGCGGCGAAGACACAGCGGAGGAGTTTTAAGCTGAAGTCTTGCTGTTTTGGTTCAATGATGACAGAAAAACCCTTCAAAGTCAGGAATATTCAGTTACTTAGATCCAAATATCCTACACTCATTGTGAGTGAAAATGCTGTAATAAGGGAATAACTGGTGGTATCCAGAAGGAGATGACTACCTGCGGTGAGAGGACAATGCCCTGGAAAAAAATCCACTATTCTGGTAGCACAGGACATAAACGGGCGTCCAAAACAGCAGAAAAATGAAAAGCATATTCAAATTGAACAAAAGTTTGGTATTTTAACTTCTGCTTCACGTGGACACCATTGGTTTTATGATTTTAGATCTTTACTCTAAATTCCAAAAAGTTTGCTGTGGAAAGAAAAAAAAAACTAAAATAATTCAAACTAATGGAAGAAGTTGGAGTAAAACATTTTTTGTTCTCTATGTTTATGTATTTTTTAACCAATGCGATGGATCGTTGTCAAATGTGATTTCATTCAAACAGTTGTAACAAATTCTTGAGTATTGTCGTACTCAGTACACAGAAACCTTTAAAACGATGCACACATGGAGTCAGTGCGAGTCTCGTTTCGAGTAAAAGTGTCTTAACCTGCTCTGAAAGCCTAGGACAGCATCCACGGGCAAATACAAAATGGTTGTCCACAGGAGCGCGTGTGGGTCAATGTTTTGTGTGCATGTGTGAGCGCGAACGTGGATCTGTGGAGACCCCCTACCTGGGCATCGCGCGTCCTCCACTCCTGTTGGAGCTGTTGGTGTTGTTGCAGGGTGGCCCTGGCCTGCCTCTCCAGGCTACCCACCTCCCGCTGGTGCTCCTGGACCAGGATGTCCTTTTCCGTGCTGTGCTGCTGTTGTAGCCGCGTCCTCTCCTGCTCGTGCTGCGCGCGCTGCTCAGCCATCTGATTGGACAAGCGGGCGAGAAGAGACTTCATCAGCCAACACACACTGAGCGCAACCCTGTCGTCATGACAACTTGTCCATCCACATCCTTTCTTAGTCCCGTTTCGTCCACCACTTCCCTCCAACCAGAACGCCCATGCTAACGCCCCGATTTGGCACAACTAGAAAGAACGTGGGAACGAATCCTGGAAAGTTTCTTCGCTTCCCGATATTTGTCGGAGAATGTGTTTACACCTGCCTTGCTCCCCCTACTTACCCAGCTCTCCTGCTAAACGTACAGATTGGTCCTCAATGTTCCACTCTCGCGCTTCAAACTTGCCCCATTCAGAGATCGGCGTATAAAAAGAGCAGTTAGTTTCTGTTGTGCAAGAAAGCTGGCAGGGGTTAGCCATCTGGTCGCAGTAACTACCCAATGCCCCATGCTATGCGCCTGACAGCATGTGAAAATCGGCTTAAGCAATGAATATGACGATTATTATAACCCCAATCAGAAAAAAAAGCTTAAGAGGGAGGCAAGGGCAGCAACTTTGAAAACATGGTTAACAATTCTTGACAGTGTTTTTACTTTTATTAAAGCCTCTGAAATCTTTACATCAATTTAGATTCCCTGCTTTCAAGGTTCAGAAGAAAATGCTTGTGAGGCGATTAGCAGGCTGCGATCTTTAGGGATTATGGTACTAAAGACCTGAATCTAAAGTCGAAGTGTAGTAAAGATCTGTGTATATATTACAACAGAAGGCTTGGCAAAAAAAATAACCCACTAAAGACTTAAGTCTGACATATGTGTCAACCTCACAGATCCCAATACAGTAGAGGAACAGAATAAAGCACTTCTAATGGGACATAAAGCTCCAATCTTTCAAGGCCTAATCGTCCTGTCAGCTGAAACAAGTCTGTTTACCCACCCAGCTGTAAGCGGAGTCACCTGCTGAGAGGTGAGCCTGGCTGCTGAAGCTCCCACACCCAAGCCTTTCCCAGGCTCCTTTCCGTTCACACTCCCTATGGTCAGTGGGACAAGTGGCCCCCGCATCATCCAAATGTGCAAGCCCAGCCTGAGCCTTGAAAGGACAGCAGGGGCCTGGATCCCGTACGCCTCCCTGCTTTGAAGCTAATCCTTGCACATTGTCCATGACGGCACCCAACCTGGCCAGCCAGAGAAGCAAAGATCGACAGCCTCTGTGCTCGACATCTGCTCTGTCCGCGGCGTTATCGGCAAATGTTACATGCTATTCAGAACAGATGATGAACGAGGGGCTAGCTACAGGAAGCCGAATTTGATCTCCGAAACCAAGAGACATTTCAATAGACATTTCATTTAGGCAGTTATGAATTTACTCTTCCTCAGTATTGATATAGTTTTACAAAATATCTTCAAAACAAGTGACAATATAATGTACAGATGGATTAAAATGTATTTTATCTGTTTGACTCAGATGATCAAACAGACGGGGCATTTAAACGATTAAAGTTATTGCTCACATATGCCTGTTATTTTGTAAAAGATCAATAACAGATGCACTATAAAAATATTGGCAACATCTTCCAAATGCTGTACCTGTTAACATTGATGCTATCTACAGAAGAACACCTATAATATTGTGTAAAGGTTTTAAACTACCCCTAACTTCTATATACGTAGCTTACAAGCAGCCAGACTTTCTTTGATATAAAAAGAAACAAACATAACCAAATACTTCAGTGCCTTTTCCATTCAAACGTGTAAAACATGCAAATTCAGACAAAATTTTACACAGAGATAGTTGGATTCATACAAAAGTCAAAACTGAAGCATGCATAAGCAAACACCTGGATCAAAAACTCGCTAGCAAGACAGCATAAAAATACCTGGTCAGAAATATGGACGTGTCAAATATTGTATTTCTTTCCCTAAAAACATTTAAAAATAAAAGGAAAAAATGGATATGTATTTAATGTGGATTTTTTAATTTAAATCACAGTATTTGACCAGGCAGAACAAGCAAAAAGCCTGTCAATGACATCACACAGTGCACATGCGGTGGAGGAAGCTGCGGTTCCTGAAAGGACCAGCCGGCGATTATGAGGGAAAACTGAGTCAGTTAAAGCACAGCTTGGTGCCTCAGACACAGTGTGAATGTACTGCATGAATTAAAGCAAGATAATGAGGTAATGGGCTTCTCAGTGCAGAGGGGGAATATCTGACATTTTCGGGATGGAGGAGGGAAGAGGGGCTCAGAAGAGAAGGGCTGTCTTGGTCTCAGCAGGGAAGGCTGGAAAGCATGAAAGGATAAAAAGAAATAGTAAAAATGCAATCCTTTTATTCCCCATATTGTAGGGTTTGATGGCTGGTGAGTGGCACAGAGTATTGACAGAAGTGCATCTTTATCTACGTCTAAAAACTAAAAACTAGACATCATCTATTACCAATGTTTGACAACTAATGAGTGAACTTGTTGAGCATATCCTTTACAGTTAGACTCATGACTCCAAACTAGTTCAGGCTGCGTCTCCAAATGGAAGTGGAAATCAATTCTTTGCTTTATCAAATCTCACTTAAAGCCTCATTGAACCTGAAGATGAGAATGTTTTCTAATGGACTAAATTGACCTCTGCAGTCTTATGGCACCATTCTCTATGGTGTTAAAGGCAGACAAAAAATTCCTGTAAAATCAAGTCCATCTCACGAGGAAACTAAAGAGTCTAGAAAATATGAACAACGCAAAAGTATCAAAATCTTAGTTCTTGTGAATGATAATCTCCTTATGCGTGCAAATGCACATGTCCTTCTTCTAACAGCTAGTTTGGTCAACTTTCATATCAAGATCATCCTAAAGACAAAACAACTGTCTTTGTAGGGGTTTATCTTTGATATGAAAAACATTCTTGATGTGCTGCTTACACTGTGGTTTTCTTTAATTGTCAACTTCCCCATCACTTCAATACTTACTGGAAAGCTTTAATTGCGCACCTGTTTTTCTACATAGAATGGAATTGAATACCTCTTAGAACTGCAGCTAGACATCAAATCTGATAATTATAATAATAATAACAATAATTAAATTATAATAACAGTGATAATTCACTACATATGCTGAATCATAAGAACAAAAATGTCCTTTTGGTGGTTTCATACACAACTACTTGATGTCTAGGACAGTGGGAAAGGGATCATTGCCATTGATTTCTTATTTGAGGGATTTCTTTTTCACTTCCCTAAAGAAAAAACAAACAAAAACAAATTCAAACAACAGTTCACCCTCATTGCAAATCAATAAGAGAACGACTCCTCCACTCCATGCAAATAACTCCGGCCTCATATCCTCCATTCCCATCAATCTACAGCAAATTACATGCAATGTGGCCTCCATCTGGCCAGAAAATGAGTGTTAGTGTGCTTATTAACACACAGGTTGAGTGCCAGTTTGATGGCTGGGAAGCAATCATGTTGCGGACACACATGGGAAATAGAGATTTTACAGCAGTTAGTGATGCACACTCCTCACTGGCTCATGTTTTTCCACATAATTGCACCATATATACAACCACAGGGCAGAACAACTTATTAATGTGATTTCAATTCTGGGCATCATTTAGGAGCACAATTAAACAAACTGTTAAAATCTGATGGAATGACGTGTACAGATGTCTCACATCACAGTGGATTTATTTCCTATAAAGAGTCGCATGATTATGACAGTTTACTGGTTATTGTTTCAGGTGTTACACATACAAATGTTATTTTAAAACAGCATAGTTTTCTGAAAATGTGAAAATGTTCAATTTTAAATTGTCTCATATGCTAATCCTATACCTAATCATATTGTTAGTCTGTTGAAATAAAGATTTAATCTATTCTAAATAGATTTTATAATAAGATCAGCAGCCTCCAATAATAACCGTTGCCCAGGTTTAATTAAAATGAGTGTCACTCTATCAGTGAGATTCATTTCAGTAAAAGATATCTTGACTTTTAATTGAAGAGTAGCAGCAGAGATGAAATGATAAGTGAGCTGTGCATCTTCTATGAAGACTACATTAGTTTCCAATTGATGCGTTAAAGATATTTATTGAGTTGGAATCTAGACTCAATCTAAAGTGTGTCCCTTATCATGAGATATTAATCAGGTGGAACAGATGGGAACAAGTAACAAGGCTATTCCAACAAGCAAAGCATTCACAGATGATCTATGTGATGACAATGAGGGTAAATTCAAGAAAAGGTTTATTTATTTCCCCTGCCTGTACGATTAGTTTAAAAACAGAAAAATGTTCCCAAGCTGAGGGAGACACAAGAACAGACAGTTCCAGCCTCATACAGACCTGCTGCTCGTACGTCAGTCTTAAAGCTTCGAGCTGCTGAGAGAAGTCTTTGGCCTGGGTCTCCCTCAGGGTTTTGGAGCGGATCAGGTCCTCCTCTACCTTCTCCATCTGTAAGCATAATATAAGCAGAAACAAGTGCAAAACAACAATAAATAAATAAATAAATAATTTAAATCATAATTTAACACACACAATGTTTTAGACACATGTACACATTTATGTTGCTGCAACAAATACATTATTTTTTTTAACTATATATTTAGAAAATATTTGAAGGGGAAAAAACTTTAACATATACAGTAGTCCCTCGTTTATTGCGGAGAATCCGTACCCTGAAGCCCCACGATCAATGAAAAACTGAAGTAGGGATAGTAGTACAAGTAGAAAGTAGTAGTTTATTTTAGTATATTAAACGTCGATTAAGATATATATATA